CTGGCACCGACTTCGATAATATTGATTAGGTATGTATAGTGAATGAAAACTACCAATCAGTTATTTATTACTTTTTAGTACTTTTTTTGATGTCGGTTTTTATTTTTTTGTTAAAAAGTTTTCATTTTTCCCTTTTTAGTGTAGACAGTAGTAGCAAAGTAAGAAGAAAGTATTAAAAATATATTCGCTTAAATCGTTAAAATTACTTTGATGCCAATTTTTATACGAATACTTACAAACTAATATTCGCTTTTATTAGTAACACTGAAAATTCTGGCTCTAAAATTCGATTGTAAAGTGTTACTTTCAAATCAAACAAAATAAGCCTGTAATATACTATTAGCCGATGAAGAATTCCACCTATCCACCTTCTGGCTTTACCATCAAATCAGGTCAACGATACCGAACTACTGCACTATCAACGGAAATAGAAACACTTGCAAAGTTTCAAGTCAATATGACAATTAGAAGTAGGTTAAATTCATCATTAGCTATTTTTCCACCCTTAGAAGTGATATTTTTTTTGAAATTTAAATGGGACCAATCTAGAAGTATACACTTTCAAACTAAACAAAAATTGTCTAAATCGGTTAATAAATGACGGAGAACTGAGGTAACCAACATAAAAAAAACATACAGCCGAACTGAGAACCTCTTTTTTGAGGAAGTCGGTTGAAAATACTTTACCAGACCGATAGCGGACCGAGAACGGTCTGTAATCGGAATTATAAATTAATTTCGTATGAAATAAGCGTAACTATATTGTAATATCCTATTGCAATATATTTATTACATTTTCCTGACATTTTACATTATATTGTATAACAAATAGAACAAAACAGGTCGTTAGCGGGCTGTCAATAAGTTGTTATCGCAGCGCGCCGCGCGCTCGTGTATCAGAGGGGATTAATAAAGTATTTAATAATTGGATATATTTGACTGATCATTGTAAAGTGCTTATACGAAAACTTATATTAATTTTTAGATTTGTGTATGTTTGTTTGTTTTAATATTGGTTCAGTTTGTAGTGACCCTACTTGATGTGACATCGGTCGCGGGTTTGAGTCCCGCTGGGGGCATTCATTTGTATGACGAGCATGAATATTTGTACTACAGTCATAAGTATGTATATTTATAATATGTACATATTTAAAGTTATATATGTGTAGTGTATCAACTATCTGGAATCCATAACACAAGCCTCATAGCTTACCATGGAACTAGATGGTGCTGTGTGTTAATGTCCCAACATATTTATTTGTATTTATACTCACACTTGTTTACAATCTCAGTGAAATCGACAGTCGCAGCCGAAATCAGTTAGGAGGACATTTTCAAGTAGCTTTTTCAGATGCAAAAATTACATCTCTATAGGAACTTATAAGCTATCGCTATGTGCAAATTCGTTTATTTTATTACGGTGCGCAAACAGGATAAACTTACAAATATATTTTCGTGTTTATGGTATTAGGATAGGTAATACGATTTTATCCTTGGGTTTAGATAGAAAAAAGGAATAATAATAATAATGGTATGGGAATAAGGTTGCTCGTTGAACTTGATGTTTTCAAAGAGTTTGAGAAAATACACCAGTAGATAAAGGAGAAAACATATCAATCATTTATAATTTTCTTCACTTGTAATCTTCTAAAATAAGATCCAGATCTGCAGCTGTACATGCTAACTAGATAAACTAGAGAGCATTACAAAAAAGATATCCAATTATGTTCCCAGCAAAGCGAGAGTGTATCGCTAGTATTTCATATTTACGCGGCGGGACTAATATTTACAGCGCGATCTATCACAGAAGTTCGACGTGAAATATTTCATTCGGAGCAAATACCGAAATGCGTTTCAATACAACGTCGACAAGTTTTTTTTTTCTATAGTAATGGTTTCGAGTGATTACAGAATTATAATCCCACTAATAATTTATTAAATCAACTATTGTTAGCTCTGGTTTTTTGTGTTATGATGAAACATTGATCGACATGCCAGTGAAAGTTCTACTAGATTAGGGCCAGTCGCTTTACTTTTATACTAGGTATATTCTGCGGAAATTGCCAACCATTCCCTTTCGTGTCTTCACATTCTATGTGACAGACAGAGACAAAACGAATGTGCGGCCAGAAGTCTTCTGCATTAATTGAAATACAATTATTGAAGAAAGATATTTATAACCATTTTTTTAACACTGTGTTATATTTTTTACATTCCATTTTAAATTCAATTTGGAATAAAATACAGATATTGGCCGCACGTTTGCTTTCTCTCTTTCTAGTATGGAGGGTAGAAGTAAGGAGGACCATCTCAGTGTATAAAAAAGTGTCCGTTGAAGGTAAGGTGGCGCTATAGTAGCAAGTGGAAGAATTTTAAAAGGAGCGCCACAAATTATTATAGTAGGATACTAAATTAAGAAAGAAAAGAAAAATTTCCGCTTTGGTACACTAATATATCACTATGTACGTTATTTCAGGAGTTTCACAGGGTATTATTTACTAAATTAAAGTTGACTACGTAAATAGTTGAGATTTTAAATACTGCATATTTCTCAACTACAGAAGTAAAAAAAAAAATTTTCAATCATATCATTTCCATTTTCTACACTAACGCTATTTCGGTGAGTGTTCGAACAATAATTTGCTGTTTACAAGTGGTCACTTTGTCAACTAATCCCCCATACAAGATGGTCCTTCTTACTTCTACCCTTCATACTATCTAGAGAGAGGTCAATTTCATGGGGGTATTGCTCCATTCTCTATGTCTTTAACACACTAGGATGACAGTTGTATGGATAACATAACTAGAAATAAAATATTCATAACATTTATCTATTTGCAGTCTGTACATGCGTGTTGAAATAAAATCACGCGCCCACCATAAAAGCAAATACTGTACTGTGTATTCAGTTTGACATGCATTTTTGTCGATATCACGAACTAAAACATAAAAGATAAAAATACGTTTGTTCCTTTACGTTTACAATTTTATACAAAAAAATTGTTTAAAATATTAAATATATTGGATTCTGGTGTTTTTATTGTTGTTATCACTTTTATACACACACACACACACACACACACATATATATATATATATATATATATATATATATATATATATATATGTATGTATGAGTAAATTATTAATTATACTGATAAATATTATTACTATTTTATTAACAACACGTGTTGTTTTAAAAGCCTTCTAAATACGTACATATCTTGATCTGAATGGGCAAATTTTTATTAATATCTAGCAAACACCAAGACATTTTACCGCAATTTTAAGAATTTTATACCATGCTAAAGACTAAAACCCTGTGTATTTGTCATCAGAAAGCTATATTTTGACTAAATTTAAATCTGCAAAATAATAAATCGTTAAAAGGAACAAACTATTATTATCTTCAATTTTAAATAAAACTATCTTTTCGGATTTTTTCGCGGATTTATTTTGATTTTTGTTTCCCGACGTTTCGAATGCTTTACAGCAATCGTGGTCACGGGAGAGACTCCACTATCTTCACTGTTAATCATAATCTATTTAAACTGTCAAGAATTTGAAGACTAAACAACAGTTTTTGCGAAATTATAGTGATTCTTCTTTTGCTTAGGTATTCTTTACATAAAAATAAAATACGTATTTATCACACAAACCTTTCGGTGGAAACTCTCATATAACAACGAAACCATATCAAAATCTGATAAGTAATTTAGAAGAACTAAGTGCACAAACAGACAGACATAAATAATAACAATATAAAGATTAAAATAAGTCATCAAAATCCAGAAACAGCTGGTATATCGCTATATAGCGTGCGGATCTCGCGTGACGAATGCTTGGTTCTTTCCTCTCCGAACTAAATCAGGCCGTACTCGATTCGCCCTTCATGTATAATTCCGGTACATAAGGGTCTAAATCATGTGACTTTGCTTAGCAGTTAAATTATTCTTGGGCTATTAGTGATATAGCTAAGTCAAAACATTTTCTTGTGGCATTTTTGACCACCATTAAAAAAAGATATATTCAATTAATATGTATGTTTTTGTGTGTATTATATGCGACATGTTCGCGCATCGTGTGATGCCAAGTTTGGCTCAGTTTGTAGTGACCTTACTTGCTGTGCCAATGGTTGTGGGTTTGGGTGCCGCTGGCTTCATTTATGTGATGAGCACGAATGTATGTCCTGTCATTGGTGTTTATATTTATAATATTATGTATGTATTTAAAGTTTTTTAAGTGTAGTGTATCAACTATCTGATATCCATAACACAAGCCTCGTAGCTTACCATGGAACTAGATGGTGCTGTGTGTTAATGTCCCAACAACATATTTATTGTGAATGAATTTAAATAATTAATTATTCATGAATTTATAACATCTCATAGTAGATCCTATATTCTTAAGAAAAACTCACAGCTTTAATAGTGGAACATTTAATTTTAAGTTGATATTAAAGTTAATCTCCTTTTTTAGTAAAAATTAAATCTAAACATATAATAAAATTCTAACTGAGCAGAATCTGTACATTAAATATTTTTTGGAAAATCTTATTGAAATAGTCATTATTGTATTATTACAGAAGCTAATCTATAGTTTTTTTAGAATTTTTATCTGTCTGTCTGTCTGGAAATGTATCACGAGAAAACTACTGGACAGATTTTGATGAAATTTGGTATGATGATAGCTGGTTATCCGGGTCAACATACATACACACATGATACTTTTAACTGCAGGAAAATATATAATCTCTGAGAAATCTATAATCTATATTAACCGTCAAAACGTATCTAAGGACGAACCCGTTCGGAGCGAGGCTGACTCGCTAGTTATTCAATATTTTTATATCATACGTGAAAATTAATGTAACCGTGATAAAAAGTAGGTATCGTTTAAAACTAGGTAATCTTCGGCTCGTGTATTATTTTATGAAAATATTCTATAATTTTATAGAAGCGTAAAAGAAGGACAAATAAACAAACACATAATTTTAAAATATGATCTTCTCCAGACCGATTGCGGCTACGGCGGCCAATCTCATTGAGACTAGCCAACTGCGCAGGAGATATTATAGTGCTCAAGTGTACGCGCAGACACAACGTGCACTCTCTATTCCTGTCACTCTCATACTCCGGTGGGACGCCTGCTCGACACGACCGGTGAGAGTTAAGGCGCAGGACCGACGGCTTCACGTGCTCTCCGAGGCACGGGGGTGAAACACCGCCAACTTCCCAACTCCGGGCTGTTACTGAAGCTTACTATACACAAAGACTCATAACTAAACTTGGCCCGACCCGGAACTCGAACCCAGGACCTCCGGGTGTGCAGCCGTACATGCTAGCCACTACACCACTGAGGCAGTTGTTTAAAATATATACTAGGATTAATATAACGAATACAAAAGATTTATATAGATTTATTCCAATTTTATCAAATACGGAGGAGAATTTTATATATATATATATATATAATATATATAATATATATATATATATATTAATGAACTCGCTCAAAGCCTTTTCTATTTTCTTTCAAGAGCACAATAGCGTGTTATTATCGCGTGCTGTACTTAGCGTTTCTTTTCTCTTAGGACTAAATCGGAACTCGATCGTCCTTCACTTCTGTTTAATTCCGGTGCCTATATTTGGAAGCATGTTTCCTTTTATGTAGACCTTAAATATAAGAAGATACTAGTTATTGATTTCAGCATTGTGCTAAACTCGTTTTTGAAGTGTAAACTTCCATAGGCAGGTTTGGATGGGGAGTAAATTTATGGAAGTCGTCATCGACATGGTCAGTCCTCACGACTGCTTTTTATATTATTTTTTTTTAATTTGAAGTCTATACATATAATAAAATTGTAACTAAGCCGAATCTGTACATTAAATATTTTTTGGAAAACCTTATTGAAATAGACATAATTATCGATACAGAGGCCAAATCTATAGTTTTTTGAATTTTTGTCTGTCTGTCTGTATGTCTGTCTATTACCGCATCACAGAAAAACCAGCTATAATCATACCGAATTTCATCAAAATATATCCAGTGGTTTTTTCGTGATGGTGATGGTTACATAGATACAGATAGACGTAAATTATAAAAACTATAGTTTCGGCCTCTGTATCGATAATAATGTCTATTTCAATAAGATTTTCCAAAAATATTTAATGTACAGATTATACTTAATTAGAATTTTATTATGTATAGATTATACTCCATTAATATTGTACAGAAACTGCCTTGTTTGTATACATTACATACATTAGATCATGATAGGTTCGAAGCCCGGGTTAGACAAAGTAGAGCTACTAGGTTTAAAGAAATTGTCCAAAACAGCATGGTGTTGGGTTTGATATATCCTCGTACCCTTGAACACGTCAGTGCTACACATATAATATCATATAACAATTCCTTTATTTAATGCTTATTTTATATAAGAAAATATTTCAAACTACAGACAAAAACAGACAAACAACAACAACAACACAAACAACAAAATCTTCATAAGTCGAAATTAATCACTTTATACAAAGAAACTTACAAAAATAAATTACTCTTATTTCAAGGGAACCCTTCAAACTATCGCAGGAGTTACGAACAAATCTAATGTTCAAGTATCCACAATCCCTCTCTACGAGAAAGCTTCAAGTAAGAACCAACAAACTGGATGATTTTCCATCGTTCAATGATTATGCTTATATTCTAGTACTGCTTGTTTATATTTATAGTTAATATAAAAATAGGCAGTGACGAAGAGTGAGTGATAGTAACCGAGTGAAGCGGGTTCAAATCCCGGGTCTCGCACTTCTAATAGTTTCATGTGCGAATTATTTCTAACCTGATTACCAGTTGTCTTACGGTAAAGGAAAACATCGCGAGGAAACCTGCATATCTGCGAAACATAACAAGTTTTCGTAAGACATGTGAAGTCCACCAACCCGCACTAGACCAGCGTGGTGGACTATGGCCTGATCCCCCTCGTATTGAAGGGAGGCCCACACCCAACAGTGGGATACTTTTAAATATAACTTTACTACATCTATGTAAAAATCGTCCCTTCTAAGGATTTCCGTGTAATAAATGCAAAGGTTGTATAGATGCAAATTTACCTTACAATATGGTTATAATACATTTTTTTTTAAATGTATGTCTGTCTGCTTGAAACCGCTTATCTTCGAATTCGCGAAATTGATTCAAACAAGATTCACTGAAATATTCTCTATTCTTGCAAGTGTTATATTTATACCTTTCTATATATTCTATATCTTTGTGACACATCAGTGGATACCAAACGTAAGCCAGTATTAAACTGCTCAGTGGTTGAAAAGTTGATAAGTACATTCGTGACCCATTGATATCTTTACAAGTTAGGTTACGAGGGGAGGGAATTAAAACGTTTCACTAGCACTATAAATGTTTTAGTGCTTTCACTAACATGAAAGTCGCTTTCAGCAGTTACATACAACGTGCCTTTAAAATCTTATCCAAAATTTGATAACTACATACATATATACTCATATATATATATATATATATATATATATATATATATATATATATATATATATATATATATATATATATATATATATATATATATATATATATATTATATATATATATATAGGAGGATTTAGTTACCTTTTTCTGTTATGAAACCTTATTATTGTTTAAAGTCACTATGTTCTTTAATTTACTTTTTATTGCTTTTGAATTTAGAGCAGAGATTTAGTCTCGAGCGGGGTCGAGACGCCATCACGACATTCTTTGGAGATATGTGGCTTAGTAACGTTGGTCATATCATGATGATGATGATGATCATATCATGGTGAATCAGTTATGTTTGATATTGTAGTTGGAAGTCGATGATCGGTGACTGTGAACCCGCTAGCTCTAAATCATTAGAATTACCGTTTCAAGTTTATAACATTGTGACTTCCCTGATTAAATTGTGTATTGAGCACTGAATACTTTATTATTTGAGCCCTGATAACGCCCATAAGATGAGTAACCACCAAAGATGATGTTCGTAGTATATGGATAACACGACATATATATATATATATATATATATATATATATATATATATATATTGGATATTTTTCTCTTTATTAAAACTTTCCATGTACCTTAAGGAATATACGAAAAAAATATTAGCTAAATTGGTCGAGCCGTTCTCGAGTTTTGCGCTTAGCAACATTCATTTTTATTTAAATAGAAGATTATATCAGTAATTCTATGGTTTTATACTTACACACATAGTATTACCAACAAAGTCTGTAGTCTATTTTGTTCCATGTATTTATTTACGTTATCAATGCTAATAGATCATAAGTATACATAAAATACCACTAAATATGCTTACAGAACAAAAAGCTGTTTTCGAGGGAAGATAACTTTATCAGTTGTAGTATAAATAACTTTTCTATCTAATATGTTTTAGATAAGCTAATCTATATATTTAACATATTTTTTGCATTAGCGCAAACGCAAATTTCATAAACATTGCAAAGTTATATTTATAAAAATCTAACACCATACTCTTGCTTGAGGGTGCGTCCCCGAGTACTTTAGATCAATCAATACCAGGGAGATCAGGCCAGAGTCCACCACGCTGGCCAAGTATGGGTTTGCGGACGTCACATGTTCTCTCGATATGTAGGCTTCCTCATGATATTTTCTTTCGCCGCAAGGAAATTCATTGAAAATGATTCGCAAATGAAATTATCAAATGTGCAAGACCCGGGACTTGAACCCGTTTCGATCGGTTTCTCAAATGAGCGTGCTACCACTGGGCTAAAACTGCCTACGGTCCCGGATAAAAGCAGCCAGTGTCAATGTAATGTCATTTTCTATTACTAAAAGTTCGACTATAATGAGTTCACCGGTTTACTTTCCACGTCCAAAACCTATTTACATTAATCTAGATTGTAACTTCGAAATTCGTTCTGACGTTAAATCAATACATCTATACATATAATAAAATTGTAACTAAGCCGAATCTGTACATTAAATATTTTTTGGAAAATATTATTGAAATAGACATTATTATAGATACAGAGGCCGAATCTATAGTCTTTAGAATTTTTGACTATCTGTCTGTCGGTCTGTCTGTCTGTTAAGGGATTTTGATGAAATTTGGTATAGTGATAACTGGTTATCCGGGTCAATATATAGGATACTTTTTACCGCGGAAAAATATGTCGTTTCTGAGAAAAAATACAAAAACTGCAATGTAAGAGTATACTAATATGTAAAACCTAAGAATTTGGTTTTTGGTCATCTGAACGCGGGCGGAGCCGCGGGCAATGCTAGTAGTGCTATAAAATATATAGACCTGCCATTAAACAAGGAGGAGGCAATATAATCCACGATCCACATTATTTAGACTCCAACAATTGACACAGTTGGCTACAAAACTAACAATAAAACGATTACAAATCCCGCCTATATCGGTATCGGTTAACGGCCACATAACCGTTACAATACATTTGCATTAAATAATATCGTATGCCACTTCTAATTGCTTTTACAAGCTCTATGGATCAGGTTGAAATTGGAAATTATATTTTGTTAGTTTATAAAACTCGTTTTATGGTGTCATTTAAAATTATTACTATAGAAAATTAAAGTATTATAATTAAATTCGAAAATTATATAAAACTAGCATTGCCCGCGGCTCTGCCCACGTTCAGATAACCAAAAATCAAATTCTTAGGTTTTACATATTAGTATACTCTTACATTGTAGTGTTTGAATTTTTTTTTCAGAAAAGAGATATTTTCCCGCGGTAAAAAGTATCCTATAAGTTGACTCGGATAACCAGCTATCATCATACCAAATTTCATCAAAATCCCTCCAGTGGTTTTTCTATGAGGCGGTAACAGACAGACAGACAAAAATTCTAAAAACTATAGATTCGGCCTCTGTATCGATAATAATATTTATTTCAATAAGAATTTCCAAAAAAAAATTGATGTACAGATTCGACTTAGTTACAATTTTATTATATGTATAGATATAATTTTTGCCTTGAAAATCATTCGCGTACCTAGTTAATTATATGGAGGTGTATAATAAGTAATTACCCCGCAAACTTACTTAAAAAACTTATTTTTGGGGTAAGTCTATGTCCAGCAGTGGAAGTGTTTTGGCTGAGACGATGATAATGAAATTCTATTTAAAGTGAAAATTTCATATTAGATAGCCTTG